ACATGTTATATATTAAAATCGAAAAATCCTATTACAAATAACCAAAAATCGGCAATTTCATGTTAAAAATCAGAAATATTATATTAAAATCAGAAATATTTATTAAAATCGGAAATATTATATTAAAATTGCCAAAAAATCAGACAGCCATATTAAAAAGGGCAAAAATCTGATTTTTATTTATTTGACCTGTGTATATCTGTAGAAAATACATTATAAACGTATGAATTTTAATATACTGTAGAATAATACGTATACCGTATCCTTTATTTACAATATTTTTGTAAACCGTATACAAAATACTGATATACAGTAGAAATGATATACGTTATAGACGTATGAATTTAATATACCGTATCACACAGTATGTTTACCGTATACTTTATTGTATTTTTTACTAAACACATTTTGTGAACAGTATACATTATACTGATATGGCGTATGTAAAAATGCAAACTGTATTAAAAATACGTATATACAGTATAAAAACCGTATACATATTTTTTATAGGGTAACTTTATGCGCGTTTGAAAATTTTAGATGAAATTCTTCCAAATGAACAACCTAATGATTCAAATTCTTTTAATAGCGAAGAGGAAATAGATATTAATAAGTCAACTATGAACAAAAATTACATAATGAAGATATACTTATATACTTTACATTATTCCTTCCATTTAAATAATAGATCAAAAGTTTCCATTAGCAAAAGGGTAAATGTTAAAAGGTAATCAGAAATTGGGCGGAAGAGGTGGAAAAAGAATAAAAAAAGAGGTAAAAGCCCTATTAGAGCTTTTTTTTCTGAATGGAAATCATAGGTCAAAAGATAGAATGAATGCTCGAAGTATGCGTGATGAGCTATTAAAACACGTTAAAGCTGGTGAACTTGAAGAAGAGGATATCCCAAAAGTCAATACCATATAAAATTGAATAAATACATATGTCCGTGTTTTTAAAAAAAGAGCTACAGAGCGTGATTTGGCTAATAAGTTTAAAAACATCTTGAATTTATCAGAATAAAAGTTGTTATAACTTAGTTTATTTATAAAATAAAGTAAAAATGTACAAAAGTTTGGTGAAATTTAAAAAAATTTCATCTTTCGAATTCTTATTTTACCTAATAATATATGGTAAATGCCACGTGCTTCTAAGGTAAAGTTCGCCAAAAAAAATTTTTATGCTTGGTGGCTTGAAAAAATAAAAGTATGACGTTTACTTTATTGTTGGTTACTATTTTTAGTAAAATATGTTTATAATTTTATTACGTCAGAAACTGCCAAAATTAGTGTACTACGACAAATTAGTATATGATTTGCGTCAAATTTTATATGTAATTTCGCTAGTTGACTCGCGGATCGTCAATTAATTAAAATGATAAATAAATAATGTTTTTGAATTACTATATCATTTTATTAAAAAAAAAATTTTAAAAACTAACAAAAATAGAGTGAAAATAGCAGTGATAGTGAAAATGAATTAGAAAGTAAAGAAACATTAGCTTTCTTTACTTTTTAACTGTGAGTTCCTAAAGTTATATATACAACTGTTTCTATAAAATATCCAGAAACATCTCCAGAAGAAGTTGTGATGATCTATAACATATTTGACTGGAAAAACCTATGGATGTGTTTTTAGATGTAAGTACCATATATAGCGGGTCACAGTACCCTGGGTATCTTGCAAAAATTGGTGGTTTGACCCTGTACCCTTGGGTATTAAATAAAACTTAAAAATTCCTTTTTTGTGAATATTTCACGATTTACCAATCCAATTTGAACGATCTTTTTTTTATTTTGAAGAACTCAATGAGAGCTATTAAACAAAAAAAAAGATGGCTCAAATCTGATCACTGGATTACGAGATAATTGTAAAATATCCTCCTAAGTACTATACAATTCTATGAAATTTTTCAAGAGGGGTATTATGGCCCGTGATATATGGTATATATCATTTACTTTAAATTTGATAATAAGCAATAAATCTTTAACTATGAATCTATATATTAAAAATCACTGATGGTGTAACATTTAGACAGAAAATCTTACCACAGTAACCACACTACCCTCAGTTACACAGTGACATTTAGCGTCACATTGTCATGTGATATCTGCGTTCGCATTTTTTATATTTATCTGAAGAGCTTAGTTTTTTTTTATTAGCCTGATTAGGGTTGCAGACATATCTTTAGGTAACTACCTAATACGTCAATACGTCATGTCGTAAGGGGTGTACTACCTTTTAGATGTTTTTGCCGTATATATGTATGTGGTAGTAAGATAGTAGTCACATGTGACGTATCTTATGTCGTATGCTGTATTATATGTTTATGCTTTATTATGTACCGTATGCCGTATATCATATAAATAAATTTAGTTCAAAATATGCAGATCTTTAAAAATTTTTTTCAGAAAAACGAAAAAAAATTATTTATTTATATCCAAATATCCAATATACTATTTATACTAATAAAATGTTATTATATTATAAAATATTAAAATCGTTACAAAATGTTATTCATATTATAAAATTATTATAAGTGGTAAAAAAATATAAAAAAAACCTAAAGTTAAGATTTACGATTTTCCAGAATCTGTAAGATTCCTTTCAGTATCTCTTTCACATCCTATAAATCCATTTAATACATCATTAGGATCATAATCCAAATCAGCTGGATCTAAAGGTTGTTCTTGTACTGGAGTAATATCAGAACTCATCTCTCCATTAGTATCATCAACAGCTGTCAAATCAACGATATTACTAATAGCCAATTCAGTATTTGAAAAATTTTCCGATGGTGAAGTATGATTTAAATTATTATATCCATCAATATTTACAGTATCATCATCCTCCTCTAAACTAATAATGCTATTAACTGAAGCAATATTAGTACTTTCTCTTAATTCACTTTCAGTAAGATCATTACTCATATAACTTAATTCCTTTTGGATATTATTCATATAGTAAGACCGAATTTTTGCTATAGCTTCAAGTTTTTTTAAAGTCAAGTTAGTTCGTCTATCACCCAAAATCCAATTAAGAGTTGAGAAATTTCTTTCACAATTTGCTTGAGTTGGGTTAATAGAAAAAATTTGACAGGCAAGTTCAGGCAAATGTCGTGGCTGTATTTTAATTAATTTCCACAATACGTTTGGAGATTCAAGTCCAGAAATATAAGGAAGATCAAAAGGAGCAAGCTTTAATTCAAACCTACGAAGTTGAGCAATTAATTCTTCACTTTCCTTGCGAGTATGACCAAGACTTTGCCACATTTCAATTGCAGCTAAGGCGGCTTTATGAAAAGCTTCATCTTTTAAACCTTTACCTGTTAATTAAACAAAAAACTTTATTAATTTTATAATTTGAGATTATACAAATCATAACATTTATATAACCTCGATAATATGGATGAAGATAATAAGCCAAAATATAAAGGGGATGTAAAAATTCTTCAAATCGATAATTAAAAATATTAATAGAAAAAGATTTAAAGACATTGGTAATTGGTAATCGATGTATTGCATTAGCCAATTTAATAAGATGGATGAAGCAATCAGATAAAGTAGCTTCGTTTGCCTCTAAAAGATTTATACATTCTTTTATTGGCTTCCATATAGAACGAACTGATCGACATATGGAAAAAAAAGATTCGTCCTCCATTAAAGCAGCAACCTCATTGTTTGTAATAGAATTAGCATGCTCTCTAAGAATCTGAAAAATTGTAAAATTGAAAATTTAGTAAAATATTTTTTAATATTTTTAATTTTATTATTAATAAACATTTTACCTACCCAATCAAACACTGGCCGAGCTCTTAATAAAGCATCCATTGTCATAAATAAAAACCCCCAACGTGTTTTCACCCAAGTTTGTAATCAGCCTCCTTTGATTTTCATAGTGGTAAAACCTTGTCTTAAAAGAGCATTACTAGCGTGTGATGTACTAAAATATCGATTAATTTTACCACATTCATTAATAAATTTTTTAATAGGTTCAAGTTTGACCAAGTCAGATGCAATCAAATTGATTGCATGAGCTGCACAACGTATATTCCATATATGTGGATACGTTTGGTGAATATTTTGTCTTGCAACTCGGCAATTGGAAGCATTATCAGTAACAATTGCGGCAAACTTATCACTGCCAAGTTTTTCAATAATACTAGAAATTTCTTCCGTTAAAAATTCACTTGTATGTGAATCTGACGAATAATCATATAAACCAATCAAATATTCCATTCGAGTATCAGTTGTGACTATGTAATTATAAATTGATTACATTTTAGGAGTAGTCCAACCATCTAACGCTATCAGAGATAGAATTTAAAAAAAATATCAGTGTAAAATTTAGGGAGAGATTAACATTTAAAAATTTTAAATCAACAAGTTGCACATGTAATAAAAAATTAATTTATATTTACCTAAAGTAAGATTATCAGATTGTTCCAAATCACGTTCAATCGCCAGATTCACTCGTGTATATTCTTCTGTAATAAGAAGGTCAGAGAGAGTAGTTCGTGATGGTGGGGAATAACCAGGATTTAGATCTTTAAAGAGATCTAAAACAAATGGGTTTTCTATTACATTAAATGGAATACCAGCCATGACCCAAGCCTTTAAAATCTTTTTATCAAGTCGGTCAACAACAAATTTGGGTAAAGACTGATCAGACTTATAATGATCGGTTATTTGTGTTTGAGTTGAATAAGGTGGTTGTGAAGAAAGTAATTTTTGGTTATTACGAGAATAGGTTGTTTGTCGGTTAGCTATATTTTCACGCCAATATATTGATATCTCTTCAGGACATTGTATACATTCATTTGCCAGGTGCACTTCCATTTTTTGTGGCTTTCCACTTGACCATTTTGTTTTACAATAGAAACAAATAGCTTCATAATGTCCATTATTCTTTTGTGCACCTTTTTCATAATATTCCCAGATTTCTGAGAAGGGTTTTGTATTTTTTGGAGTCTTTGACAATTTTATTTTTTTGTTATTGTTTGGTATTGTATTTTCTTCATCTGAAGAAACTATAAGTTCTTCATTTTCATTAATAACTGGTCTTTTACCCTTTCCTGAACTGCTTTGTCCACAATTCATAGTTCATAAGTAAAGAGAATAAAAAAAAAGTAGAGAAACATATTACATTTACTTGTGTTAATTTAATTTCGTGACGTGATACAAGTACTGTACATCATATGATATGTCATACGTCAGATATTTGTCATACGTCAATATATATATCATACGTCAAGAGTTGTGGCAAACGGCATATGTGACGTATTGCCGTGACGTATGCTGTAAGGTAGTTACCCTCAAGAAAAGATATGTCTGCAACCCTAATCATCACAATATCCATATCCGGAATAAGATAATTTTCCACATTCTTTGCAAAATACCTGAGAAGGAGAATTGCAATGAATAAAACATCCTTCCAGATGGTAGCATCCTCGATTGCAAATCTTACCACTCCTGTAGATATAAGTACATTGATAAAATACCATTTTTAATAACTATGGATTGTTGATTTATGTATCAATCTATGTAGTTCAGAATTAATTTTCATTTTAAACTTTTTCTTTCGGAGTATATAGTTTCTCTTGAACTGTATATTTGCGATATAATATCATGACTAAACAATTTGAGCTTTCAGAGTTCCTCAACGTCTCCGCCCCGTACTATCAAGGATACAGAGCCTCTGATATAGATACATTTCTATATAAAATTTGAGATGATAGTGTTAAACCAAGGCATTTCCTTGGTGCAGACAATGCGGATGAAATAGAAGCCATACTAACAGAGCGTGAGGGCCACTCCTTACACGAATTTATTGATGGAGATGAGCCACTCCGTCCTGTTATAGACTTTGATTTGCCAATAGAAACATTAAATGCTATAACTCCCAAGCTTTCAGGCGGTCAGGCAAAAAATTCACTTTATTGTGCCTTTAGAGATACTTGCCTAGAAATATTCCCAGAATGGGATAAAGAAACTTTAACTATTGCCGAAAGTAGTGATAAGAAAAAAATATCTCTCCATGTTTCAACCTTTGGCATGAGACTTCCAAATACTGCTCAGGTCGCGATGTTTACTGAGCTTGTTCGTAAAAAACTTCTGACAGCTCTACAAGAAAATAGCATTATCGATAACATAGCAAACAAATGTTCATTCTCTTTGCAGATGCTTGGATCACCCAAATACAATGAAAAAACTGGAGAACATATTCATGTGAAAAAAGCTATTCGTCCCAAAGATGGAACAATCTTTGACTTCATGATTCGCCCATCCAATGATGAATCAGAAGTCATCAAGAACAGTCCTCTCCTGGTTGTTTTGAAAGCAAAAATGGAGAGATGTTCTAGCACAAATAATGTTATCACCAATGCTGAATTCGAACTAGTAGAGACATTACTTCAAGAAGCTAGCATCGAAGGGTATAGTCTCTCATATCCATCTGAAAATTTTTCCAACAAATTTCCACTATCACGCATCTCTCCATCGCACTGCCCAATATGTGACCGAGAATATGATAGTGATCATGGATATATTATTCGAAATAAAAAATCCTACAGCTTTTTCTGCTACTGGGTAAATAATAATAGAGAACCCGGCTCTAAAAAACCTTCAAAAAAGCTTACTATTAGTGAAACTGCCTTGGATTGAGAACAAAAACTCCCAAGTCCTACAAAACTAGACCGATCCAGAATTTCTGATCCAAATGACCGTTTCGTATGAAAAGATTTAATTGATATGAGCACCTCTGGGTGAAAATTTTCTCGTAATGAAGTTTATGAAGCAATACAGGCAACAGTCGCCTGTATTCAAACAACATCAAGATTATGGGTGCTCAAAATAGAGGATACGAATGGTAGACTCTATTTTGATATAGCGCTAAAGCTAGATCTTGCCAAGTATGAAGTTAACTTGCTTGAGCTAGGTGGGGAGGGGGTGAAGTTAATTAACTTAATAGATCGGACGGTTACCAAAGGTCTAATCGTTTACCACAATATTAATTTTCTACCGTATCTGCTGAATAGTCCAGTTCCCAATACAAAGTTTTTTAACCTTTTCATAGGATTTTTGGCTAAGCCAGCGGTAGAAATTAATCCCAAAATTATAGATCCTATTCTCTGGCATACGAAGAATATAATCAGTAATGAAAATGTGGAGCTTCACGAATATCTTTGGAATTGGTGGCATATTTAGTGCAGAAGTCAGAAAAAAAGCCTTGGTCAATCTTAGTCTTAAAGTCTACATTACAGAAGTGTGGAAAAAATATTATCACTGACTTTATTGGTGACAAAGTCCTAGGGGAATATCTCCATTATGCTACATCAGATTTGGAGAAAATTCTTGGGCGATTTAATAGTGCTATTCAAGCTCGAAAACTTATTGTTATGAATGAGACTGGAATGTCTAGTGGGGAATGGCATAAATTTAACGGACATCTTAAATCCCTTATAACGGAAGGAATGGTGTCTATAGAGCGTAAGGGTATTGAAACAAAGCGAATTAGAGATTTTACCAGATTTATGGTTACAAGCAACCAGGATGCTCCGCTCAAAATAGATATAGGGGATTCTCATGTAGTCTGTTTTGATGTGTCTTCACGATGTAGAGGAAATACAGTATATTTTAAGCAACTAGGAAAAGTTCTTGACGATCCCGATGCACCAGGAGTAGTCATGAGATATCTTCTTAGTCGCGATCTCTCAGACTTTGAACCACAAGAAATTCCTGTAACTAAAATGAAAATAAAAACAATGTGAGACCAATTACTTAATCCCATCTGATTTATAATTGACTATATTTCTTCATGGTGTGAGGTTAAAATAGCCAGTTCAAGTCGTACATTATTATATCAGAAGTATCTTAAATGGTGTGGAGAGAATAGTGAAAAGCCATTTTCAAATAACATTACCGGGAAGAAATTTTCAGATATTGGTATTGAGAGCAAACAAGCGTGAACAGGTGGCAGAAAAAGAAAATGGCAATATATACTTGACCACTCCAAGATCGTAGCCAAGCTCCGTGAATCTGGCCTAGGTGATATGAAAGAATTTTCTGATATACCTCAAGACGACTTGCCTGAAAATGAAACTACAGACATACCCATATTCAATATGCCAGAAACTATTCCACAGAAAATAATCCTGTCTCAACCAGAGCGCCAAGCCGATAAAAAGAATACGTCTTTACCTAATATCAGTAAAAATAAGAAAGCAGATAAACAGGACAATTTGACCTAAGCACTTTTCGACTATGTGGCAGAAAATACACGTGCTCCAGTCGCCTCAACATCTGGAACATCTGAAACTAGCAAGCTTTCTGAATCTATTGAGCCTATCAATGAAGTAGTGAATTTGCCTCCTAAAGAGATGTCAGCCGATTCTTCTAAGCCTATCAATGAAGTATCGTCTGCCATACTTCTGGCCAGAGTTCAGCGAGAAGAGCGCCTCAGAAAAAGGGTAGTCGAACTTGGAGAAGATCCAGATGTCTTCATGACCATTACCAAAAAAGACCGTCTTGATTCCATTGCATTCTGAGATAGAATGGAAACCAACTCTTGGATGTGTGGTTATGCAGAAGAGGTGGAAGAAGATCCCAAAGAATATATAGACATGACAGTATGGGAAAGATTGATAAGAGAAGAAATAATCCGAGGAAGATGAGATCACATCCTTCTGGCTTGATACTGATGAGGAATGGAAAAAAACGGTAAGCACACTCCAGGAGAATGGTATGCTTTGGTAAAGAGCGAATAGGAGTGGGTTATGAAATATTAGTAGGGATGGGACTTTCGTTCTTTACAATTAGGTGATATAAAATCCCAAATTATTATTTTTTCGCATATCCTATTTATCCGCAATTTTCAAATATATATAAAAGATATTCTGGCCGGAGCTTGTGACCTCATAAAGAGCCCGCAATAAATTATAATATTCTTTTTTGCCCACCGACTATAGATGTCAGAACAATTATTTATTTTTTTGAATTGAACTTTCTCCGCATAGTATATACCAAACAACCTAGGTATAACCAAATATCTTACATATTACCAAATAATAACATGGCTGGCATCGCTACTAGATATGTAACAGAAAATGAGCTCAATATCGAGATGAGTATCGAAGAGCTTAGTAACCACGCTCCGGCATTAGATATCCTTTTGACGGATAAAGTTAAGAGGGATCAGGCACGACGACGTTTCCAAAAGAAATATAACTTTAGCAAAGAACAGGTATTTGCATTAATTCCTAAGCAAACAGCTGGTCGGAAAAAAGGAGGAGCCTTACCTAATGCTCCCAATGCTCCCGAAACTCCCGATAACACCCAAGAAGCAGAACCGGACGCAGTGAATACATGTCAAATTTCACCAAAAGAGACTATTAGAGATTTGGCCCAGCGTATCATTTGGGATAATCTTGGTGAAGCAGAAATAAAAGTTATAGCTAATGCCTTAGCTAAATCCGCCTCTAATGCTCATCACACCTTACTAGACTTCGAAGAGAGATGAGAGCCCTTGAAGCCTCAGAAAAAATAGTCTCTGACACAAAGATTCCAGACACAACCCGTTCAGCTAATAAAATTCAAAAGGAGAATAGATTGTTACATGAAAATGAAGGAATCGATTATCCAGACCACTTCTCATTAGAATCGTTTAAGGAAAGACTGGATTTATATGATGTGTCCAATATACCTGATAAACAAGCCCTAGCCGATGTAATGATAATGCTTTGTATTCGCCCTGCTGAAATTAAAGACTTACGCATATCTAATGGAAGCGTAACTGGGTATGGAAAAAATTGGGGACAACAAGACATTCCCTAGATATTCAGATCACCAGAGAAGAATGAGGAACGGGCGAGGCAATTGCTTATATGGATTCAGGAAGCAATTTCTTCTGGACAGTTAAAAGACCCAGGAAAGCCAGGTGTATTATAGTTCAATACATTTCTAAAAAAGGATGAATTCCTCTCTAAAGTAGGCAAACAACTACTTCCTAGTTCTTTGCGCAAAATAGGGGCGGTATTTGCAGTTGTAGCTCATGGAGCAAAGAATTTATCAAAAGCTGAGACCATTGCTAGTGAAGCACTTCGCCACAGTCCCGACAACCATGCCTCTCCTGCAAAAAACTATATTATAGTAAATTATCGGTTAAGAGGAGAACCATATAATCAGGCAATGGTATTCGAGCTCTCTGGTGAAAACTAATCACATATAAGGTTAGAAGACCGGAGTATTCAATAATATTCTTGGTATTTAGCTTCCAATTTATTTCTCTATAATTCATATGCAGGAATCAGCTATACAATATTTCTTCCACCGATCATGAGCAGGTTCCAATTGGGAATTTTATTTTTTTTGCTCGAGGCAAGATATAGCATATGTAAAGTATCGTAAAAATGGTAACCGATCAAAATCATTCATCTGACGTATCCAGCGAGCAGGAAGTTATCAGGTAGGCGTACAGAGAAAATAGCCAAGTTATTAGAAACAGATAAGTAGAATGCAGAGGTATATATTACGCTTTCTGACAAAAATAGGGTGTTAAAGAAACAGTTGGAAAAATATCATTCTCAACATAACACTTTAGAAAGGAGGGTAAAAAGGTTAGAAAGGGATGTAAAAGATCTGGACGAATGCGTAGATAGGGAAACTGTGGTCGACTTAATACAAAAAATAGTCCTCTCGCTGGTTAGAGAAAAACCTAATAAAGAATAATCCTTCCTCCTCTTCGTCTGACTATTTATCTGATTCTGATATTGATGAAATAGTAAAAATGATTAAGCATCAAAGGATTCGAATCAGATCTGGGAGCGCCAAGCCCAAAGGAAGGTTTCAGAAGAAAAATGTATATCATTCAACTAGTCCAGACCAGTTATCATTCCACGCTATAGCTAACCAATAAATGCCAGTCCGCAGTGATAGAAATTTATTTTTTATATTTAGATATTATATATGCCATAATAAAAATGATATTCGGTAATTGTGTAATCAAAGAAACCAGCCCCAGCCAAGCAGTACTCGATACAGGCGCTGATGTAAGTTGTATTAGCAAAAAACATATTGGTGAATTAGGAATTGCATATCATGATAAAAATAATAGCATTAAAACTCTGGATGCAACCTATTCCACAATAGGAAAAGTTAATCTGCATATCGGCTTTAATGGTGACGAGAAACATAAAAGCACACCCAGTGAATTCATAGTTATTGGACCAGATTGGCTGGGACCTGATTTAATTTTAGGAGGGCTTTGGTTTCGAGAAAATGGTGCAACTTTGAATATATGCAATTCAAAACTATTATTAGACGATAATTTTGCGATCCTATTCAAAGTATGGACCCATGCAGAATAACAATTATCCGAAGTACATCAGGAATTTTTTTCCGTTTAAAATCCACATGGAAATCCACAATAAATACTGCAGAAATATGTGGAAATCTAAATAGTTCCAGTATTTTCTGAATACTCTGTGACGAAACACGTGGTATTTTCGGCATAAGTCCACAAAATTCGGTGTGGATCCATGTAGGATATTGGGAATATGTGGAATTCCACGTATTTTTGAGCAAACCCACGTGGAATTACATGGACCGACCCACCTAAAAACTTCCTGATGTAGTGATCATCAATATGCGTAATTTTATTTTTTCGTTTAAAGATATAATATATAATATGCAATATGTATGGCACAATCAAGCATCTTTTATTTACCAGAACTATTAGAACAGATTTTACATTTCTTAGCGATAGATAAATCTCTCTATCCCGCTCTATATGTTTCCCAATTGTGGTACAGATGCGGTGCTTCTATTTTATGGAGACGCATTGAGTTAAAGGGAAGGGAAGCAGAGGATCAAACTCGATTAGAAAGATTTTTAAAAATAGTACCCAGAGGAGGAAGAAAACCAGTCTATAGCTCAAAATTAACTCATCTTAAAATATTGCACTACCGACTTTCTAATAGAAAAATCAAAAGCATTGTGCATACTTTTCAAAATATAATTTATTTAGATCTCGAAGGAAGTACAGACCAAATAGGTAAAGTTCTAAAGCTAATAGCAAAATCATATCCAAATTTGAAGTATCTCAATATATCCACTTTACGGGAATTACGGAGAAAAAATGATATAGGTCTAACTGCAATCGCAGAATTATGCCAGAAACTAGAATATCTAAATATCTCTAACCATACAGAATTTTCTGAAATATCAATTTGTAATATTGTTCGCTCTTGCCCAAGGCTCTACCAACTTGATTTTACCTATTGTGAAATCACTGATATAACTATCGAAGAAATTGCTAGATCATGTCTTAATTTAAAATATCTTAATTTGGGAGGGTGTTATAAAATTAGCAAAGGAGCCGTAAATAAGCTAAATCCAAATACTTACATAGAGAATTTTAAGGAAACTTTAACACCTTCCGATCTCATTGGAGCAGTTAGAAATCATCTTATACAGAACAACGTTTCTAGTAGACAGATTTTAGCTCAGGGCCTTCAGAACCTCTTAGATTTAAGTATGCGAGATAATTTGCAATGATATTCCAGTTTGGCTAGATCAATAGTCCAGAGCGATGATCATTAATTAGTTTTTGCTGGCCACATGCATGTACTTCTGTGCGACAAAAAATATAGATTAGCTAACCTGTTCTAGACATGGGCATTGACCAGCACTAGATGGATTTTTGACGAATATTTCGTGCAATTGTTGAGAAAAGACTAGAGAGATTTGGAAATAGCGGATGCCCCTCTCCAGTAAACCGAATTTTATTTACCTCCATTTTACCATATTTCTGTAAAATCACAATTGGAACATCTTCTAATGGACCGTGGAATTTCTCAAACTTTTGGAGATATGCTCTTGCTTTTTCATTGACTTCTTCTGCCCTTTCTTGATTAGAATAACCAATAATACCGAGTTCATCCTGAATTGTTATTATATCCTCTTCCAGGTATAAAAGCAAATTATATATTTCTCTATATGAAATATCCGTAGAAGCTTTATAACTCTTAAGTTCCACCTCTAGAATGGGATTGCCTTCGATGTTGAGTTCCTCCTGTATTGGTAACATATCTCCCACCAAGTCTAACAACAACTCATATGAATCGGCAAGTGTTATCTCTTCCTTGCTTTGACGCATTGCCTCTTGATTTGCATTGATATTAATACCAAGCTTTTTCTGAATAGCTATTATATCCTTCTTCTTATATAAAAATACTTCATATAATTGATCAAGAGATTCTTTCATAGGAGATTTATTAGTATTGTTATTCACCATGATTGCTAATAGTAAAGTAATATATTTAATGTGGAAAATTTTACCAAGTCTGAAATACTGATCGTCAACCTGGGATAGTGATCATCAGCTCGGAAGAATTTGCTGAGCCACAGATTGTGTGATAGAAAAAGGCCGATCACCAGGCAGGGTTTGCGCGACATATTAATTTTCACATATATATTCGAAAAAACATATTAACCTTTATTCTTTATTTTTTTCTTGAACAAACATGAGAAAAATGACCTGCTTCACAGGCGCTTCGCTTGAAAGGAGGTCTAGTTGGAGCACAGGACCAGCTCTATAAGTAAATAGTGCCAATAAAAGCATATGTTATGAAAGGCTGGGGACTTTGGAATTTCGAGATCGCCAGGCGTAAAACCAACTATGTCTTTCTAGTAGATCTACATGTGAAAAGGTATGAGAATTCTATTTGCATGTGCCTTCATAGAACTCTTGGCATCATATGACAATGCTAATCACTATTCTTATCTCCTTAACTTCGGCTTAGCGCTCTTTTTCCCAGCAAGATATAAAGCATATAGAGGTATGTGGTAAAATAACGCAAAATAAGGTATGTATATGCCAGAGAGGGTCCCTCTGGGACCAGTTATGAATGGGAGCGAGTTTTTTCTCACCATGGGCCTTGATTTAGGAAAGCAAGATGTCTGATAAGACCAATGAATCTGATAAGACCAAGACTCCTGACAAGCTTGACAAGTTTCTCGCTGGTGGGGATATTACTCTCAACTGTCTCATTTCTGACGAGGGAGTGAACGATATTTTTGAAGTAACGATATCTAACGCTAACAACAATAGAGTCTCTTCTCTCGCGAAGGCAATCAGAACCCATCGTCTAGATCGATTTCAAGATATAGATTCGACCAATTTGGCTTTATATAGGGTCGCATTTATAGCTGATAGTGTCATAATCAACAGCTTAAGAAACATCAGTGAATTTGAAGTAGAAGGTGCAATAAGAATGGAACTGCAAAACACAATTTTTACTCATTTTCCTATACAACCCCAACAAATCTTTGGTGGTGAAAAGGGAATCAATGTTATCGTGTACCCTCCCGCTGAAAGGATGCTGGAGGTACTAAGCAAAGATAATTAGATTTTTTTATCTATATTTCATTATCATGTAATAGCAATAGGCCTGAGCCACGAAGTATAGTCTCATTTTTTATGTAATGTAGGCCGGCTATCAGCAACTATTTTATTTCATAAATAAAGTATTATTATTGTACTATATGAGAAATGGGTCACATGTAATGGTGCGGTCCGGAGGCGCTTTGCATAAATCTAACATTTCCAATCTAGCCTATATAAAATCGTTAGGTGATAAGTGAGAAGAGTCTCTTGGTTACCAGAGGTAACACAAAGGGCACAGTGATTAGGCGATCGTTGCACTTATGATGAGGTCTGTGAAACGGAATAATTTCTCACATATAGTCTGCCTCAGTATTTTTTTCCCAAATAAAATTCTTTTAACTCTTGTCCTCACATACCGCACTTTGCACCAATAATATTTCGCAAAAAATACTATATAAGCCGAAAACATGTCTATCACTTTATTCTGTCTTGTTAAAGGAAATACAACCGCGAACGCTTTCTCTGTTAAAATAAGTAGAGACGAACCTATTAGCGAACTCAAGAAAGCTATTAAGGTGGAAAAAGCACCAGAGTTCGACAATTTTCCTGCAGACAGGCTCAAGCTATGGAAGGTGTCGATCCCTGGCGATCAGGACAATCAATTAAGAAATCTAATACTCCAGGACAGTGATGAGCTGTTGGCAATAAGAAAGATTTCGAAATATTTCCCAGACTCACCTCCCGAAGAACATATCCATGTTATTGTAAAATTGCCACGTAAGTGTCTGGTATAGTCTGTGCAAAGCGCCTTAATGGCTAATTTTTCGTCATTTGCCCTAGTAATAATAACACATATTCGTTTCCAGTTCTCAGCTTGGAAGAGACGTTGTCGTGTATTCCACCACCCATAACATATTCTCCGGACTGTACTAAATCGAAGACCACTACAAAGGTTAATAGTGACCCGCCGACAAGTGTACAATTATGGGGCGACTTTTTCGATAAAGTGAATCAATTCCGCTTCGACCAACAACCGATATTCGAGAGGTAGTGCCTCAACCCGGATGAAAACCATCATCCGGATTACACAAAAAAAAAATCCGGATTACATTCGGATTGACCCAGATTTTGAATCTGGATCAGATAATCCGGATAGAAACCGGAATTCGGATTGGATTTACATATAATTTTTTTTTGACTGCGAACTAAAGTTAAACAATTTTCGCATAATACTTCAAAATATTTATTGTCAAAAATTACCAAATAATAATTACTGAAATCTGATGCAAAAATATACTAAAAATAATTTAAGAAATAGATATTAATTATAATTAAATTATGATAGCAGCAATTTAATTATTTCATTTTTATTTTAACATTTCTTTATGTTTATACAACAATTTCATAGCATTTATGTTTTTGTTAATAAGCTTTATAAAATTTATTAATAAAATTATTTTTAAGTTTATGGCATTATTTAATAAATTTGTGGCTTTTAATAAATTTTATATAAGCTTTGTGTCATTTGTGGCTTTTATGAGTAGGACTTGTGGTTTTATAGATGAGATCACAACTTTTTTTAATAGGATTATATATGGCTTTTTTGATAAAAATATGGCTTTTTATTTTGATAAAAATTAAAATCATTTTGTGGCTTTTTTTGATAAAAATTAAGATTACATTATGGCTTTTTTTTTGATAAAATTAAGTTTGTTTTATGACTTCTTTTAATAAATATATGGTTTTTTTAATAAAATTGTGGCTTTTTTTGATAAAATCATGATAGTTTTCTTGATAAAAATTAAGATCATATTATGGCTTTTTTTTTTTGATAAAAATTAAGATCACATTATGACTTTTGTTGATAAAATAATGCTTGTTTTATGGATTCTTTTAATAAAATATATAACTTTATTAATAAAATCATGGCTTTTTGATAAAATTATAGTTCTTTTTGATAAACATTAAGATCATTTTATGGCTTTTTTTTTGATAAAATTTATACTTGTTTATGATGAGATATAGTTTTTTTAATAAAATTATGATACTAGTTTTTTTTGATAAATATCAAAGATCATTTTATGGCTTTTTTGATAAAATATATAGCTTTTTTAATAAAATTATGGCTTTTTTAATAGAATTATAGCTTTTTGATAAATATATAGGCTTTTTTTTTTTGATAAATATTAAAATCATTTTATGGCTTTTTTTGATAAAATCTTAATTTTATAAATTTATAATAAAAAGCCATAACCTTACTTAAAAAAACACTATATAAATGCTGTAATTTCACCTTGATAATTTTTACATAATTTCACTTTGAAATTAAATTTAATATTTAAAAATAATTTATTAAATATGGCAGATGATAGTAGTTATATTCTACCTTCAAGTGATGATGACTTTAGTGAAGAAATTACTAATGAAATGGTCCAAATACCAGAATTACCAGTAGCTACAAAAATAGAACAAATAAATGTAATTAGTATACCTGACTCAACAGTTCAAATATCAGCTAAATTACAAACAAAAGTAAGTAGTTGGGTATGGAAATATTTTATTAAAGATTATAATAATAAAGGTGAAATACGTGCATATTGTCAATTTGTAATGGAAAATGGAGATAAATGTACAAAGAATTATAAATATGATGGATCTACAGGAAACTTTAGTAGTCATATTATTAAACATGGAATTATACCACCTACAGCAGCAGAAAATTTACCTGCTGCTGAAATTAAATCAAAGCCTATACAATCTATTGATAATATTGGACAAAAAGAAAAGGAAGAATCTACATTACGATGGATTCTATTGACAACACAACCCCTTTCAACTGTAATTCACAAAGCTTATATTGAACATATGCATATCATAGATCCAGAATTTATAGTTCCTGGAGAGAGGAAAATTAGAATGATGATTGCTCAAAGTTATGGATATAATAGAAACAAATTAAAGCAATTTTTAAAATCTGCCCAATCCATTTCTTTGACCACTGATTTGTAGTCTTCTAGGTCAAAACATGGTTATTTAGGTTTAACAGCAACTTGGATTAATCAAAATTTTGAAATAACAGATATTTTACTTGAAATATCCTATTTTCCAGCACCACATACTGCAGATAAAATTGCACAAACTATTAAAATGATTATCCAAAAATGGGAAATTGAAAACCTTATAGTATCAATTACAACTGACAATGGTGCTAATGTAGTAGCTGCTATTCGTGAATTAGCACCAATTGAAAGGTTTTCCTGTACAACACATACTTTACAATTAGCTATTGGAAAGGGTTTAAAACTTGTGGAAGATTTAGCAATACGTGCAAGACAGTTAATTAATTTTTTTTCAACTCAAAAACAGATTGAACGATTAGTTAAAATACAAAAAGATAATGGTTATGAGGAGCAATTACATTTAATACAAGATATTCCCACTAGGTAAATAAAAATTTTAAATCTTTAATTTTGTTTACAAATTACAATATAATGCTAATATATTTAATTTTATTTCAATTATTTAAGATGGAATTCAACTTATTTAGCATGGGATCGTCTTATTTTCCTTCAATGTGCTATTCTTCAGCTTAATGTAAATTTATCTTGTTCTTTAATACGTGAAGAAAAAGCTGATAGTATCAAATTGAAAAAAATTATGTTGAGTGATAATGAATGGGAATTACTAGATGAATTATGTAATATTTTGTCACCATTTGAAAAAGCTACACGAGATTTGTCTGGAAATACTTATGTTACATTAAGTCAAGTGGTTCCTATTATTACAAGACTTACAAATTCTTTAAATCCATCTGGTAATTTATATGAAGAAGAACCTGATGATAGTTTTAATGATTTAGAAGAAGAAAATTCAACTAACCAGCAAACTAATTATGATAATATTAGAGAAACTTTAGAAAATGTAAAGAAAAATATTTACAGAAGTTTGAGATACTATTGGAAAATACCAAACGAGTTTGGTATTATGGCAGCACTTTTAGACCCAAGATATAAGAATCTTGATTTTATTTCTGATGATAGTATAAAGAGAAAATTTCATTCTACTTTAAGAACACGATATGACCAATTAAAATGGGATATAAGTCAGCAAAGTATTCCATCATCACCTACAACTGTTACTTCTGCTGAAAGTTTAATTGCTGGAAGTTCAACTCCAAGTAGATCTTTACGTGACCATAAAGCAAGACGTGAACAAAAAGCAAAAGAAGTATTTCAAAGAACAGAAATCCCTACATCATAAATGGAGGATGAAATTACAAGCTATCTTCTTATGCCAATTGCAAGGGAAAATAAAAATCCATTAGATTGGTGGAGAGTAAAACATGAAATTTTTCCAATTCTCTCTTTAATTGCACAAAAGTACTTAGGTATTCCTGCTACCTCTGTAGCTTCTGAGCGACTTTTCTCTGATGCAGGAAATCATATTACATCAAAAAGAAATTCATTGGACCCTGGCCTATTGGGAAAAATGATATTTTTAAAGCGTAATATGCAAACAATGGATCATATTAATGTGTTTCCTACAGATTTAGATGTGGAAAAGAGTAATTCAGAAGAATATTTATCTGAATGTGAATTTGAGGAATGGTAAATAAATAATAATTTTTATCTACAATTATTTGTTATTTGTTAATATATAAATTTAAATAAATAAATCTGATACAAACTTCAATAAATAAATTATAATTGAAAAATCTTCTTAAACTTACTGTATTAAAAAGTTTAATATAACTAATAAATTTTAATAAAAAAAATTATCCATAATATCATTTAGATATAGAATGTTATGGATCAGCAAAATTATTATTATTAAAAAAAAAAAAAAAAATTTCATCCGGATTCCGAGTCCAACCAGATATTTTTCATCCGGTTTATAATCCGGATGAAACCCGTAGAAATCCGGATATCCGAAAAAAAAAAAAATCCGGATCAATCCAGATTGATCCGGATACGGGTCGAGGTACTATCGAGAGGCCACAATTTATTCCAGATAAAGTGGTAGATAATGAGGAGGATGTTCATTTTGCTATTGATGCCAATATTTGTTTGGTGTTAAATAGGCTTATGGGACCAGATTATAATTTTTCAAAACGTCCACCTAATTCTCCTGGCATACCGGACTTCACCTGTCATCTCGTGGGTTCATTGATCTTGGTGATTGAGGCAAAAAGAAAGCATGTTTTAGAAGACATGGGTGAACAGACATTTCCCGAGTTTTATAATACGAGTAAGGGCAAGGATGTAATTCAACAAATCTATAATTATATGGGAGAAAATGAACTTAAATACGGTATTCTTACCACTTATGATAATCACTGGTTTCTATGCCGAGAACACACGAAGCTCTGGATCTCAAAAACCCTTTCACTGGAATCTGAATCTCCACCCGTACTCAAGGCATATACTTATCTAACTCGACAGGCGAAAGAGAATCCCAACTCTCCTAAACTTCAAGTACTAGTGCCGGCTCAAGGGGATAATAATTCACGTACTCTTCGATCAAACTCAAAATCTTCATCCAGCTCTTCATTAACTAATCAGGCTTCCAGCATCTTTTCGAATCAACAATCATCTTCTAACGTCCCAGTAAACCAGCAAAAGTTTAGCTTCGCAGACTTCAAGTTTAAGGGCATACTAGGTGAAGGACGAAGTGGTAAAACGCTCCTATGCGAGTTTTGTGGTGATACAATTGCTCTGAAGAGCGTAGACTTGTCGAAGGCTCCATCGTATGTTCTGAAAGAAATGCAGAAGGAAGTAGAGATGTACAAAGATCTAGCTGATATTCAAGGCAAGTATATCCCAAAGCTGGTCTGTTATGGATATTATGGAGGAGGCATGAGCTTCGTTATCGGCTTAACCATTGTTGGCACTATGTTGAGCGACCAAAAAATAACGGAACAGCAAAAGTCAAGGGCTATTAAGGGATTAGAAGCAATCCACAAGCATGGTATCCTCCACAATGATATTCGGGAGGAAAATATCTTAATTAATGATAAAGGTGCCCTATACCTGATTGACTTTGGGATGGCAAGCCGGGAGGATACAAAAAAGAAGAGAAAGCTTTTTGACGAGGAACAGCTCAAATTATCTCAATTGCTAGATGGATATATTGTGTAAGAATTTATTATTTTACAAATTCCTGTACAATAATTACTTGTAATCCTAGTTTTTTATAATTAATAATCATGTATTTTACAGACATTTCGTAAAGAATGAGGGGCGAATTTCAATGTCAGGTGGTTAGTTAGACTGTAGGGATATACATTAGACATTTATATAGAAGCGTCATGTATCACGGGCAATGTCCCGAACATTTGTATTTATTTTTCGTATGTATTAATAAAATATTTTTTTCTTGGCATTTTTCTGGAACCGCGCGGTCTCAGAAATCTGGTGACTTTATAACCTATTTCTCTTGGTAAAATGACAGTCTCTATGTATATATATACTAACTAACTTTTGAATATTTCACTTCTTGTATAAAATTTATCAATCATGTCATCTGAGCTTGAAGTATTGAAACAGCGTATCGTTGAACTTGAGGCTAAGAATGCCGAGCTTGAAGCAGAAAAAGCTGAACTTTTAAAGCGGATTATGGAGGAGAATACTAGACGCGATGTTAGAGTTGAGGAACTGGAGCAAAAAAATAAGGAGCTTGAGACCAGACTTGCGATAGTGGAACAGGCTTCCTTACCAGTGGAAGAGCAGTTGTATAATGATAATCCTTCTGACAATAGTACATCTAACTTTAATTCAGTTGCGGAGTATCATGAGAAACCATTGGTGGATGTGGAAACAGATAATTCCTTTCCTGAAGAGGTTTGCTATAATAAGCAAGAATTGGTGGCAACAGTACCTGCCAACTCTGCGAAGCGCCTTAATGGCACATCGTTGGAAGAGAAAGATATGAATAGTTTCTTGCTTGAGGCTCATAAGAAAATCGTTAGTAGTGAAATAAAGCAACGCAATAAGGAGAAGAAATTTTTACGTAAATTGGCTAACCAGGACAGCATCTCCGATACTGCTTATGTATCAGAAACTGTGGTGGTTGCTCCTCAATTGGTCATTGCAGATACCCTCAGGAAGAAATTCCCACGGTGAATTCGAAAGTGATGCATGATATAAAAGTAGTTAACAGGTATCCTGAAAATTCATATGAGGATGCGCATCGGATGAGTTTAGAAATTTTGGAAGAGTTCGAAAAAACCGTTCCCTCAGGGAACGATCAGAGTCATGTGTCTTCAGTTAAGCCAGATCTCGAAGTATCCATGGAGCAAGATGATGAGCAGGAATCGATAGATAAAAATCAAATCATAGAACAGGGTCTAATACAAGAGCTGTGTGGTACCTTTGACAACTGTTAACCCATATCCAGTGATGACAATATCAGCTCTACCAATACTAAATCCTCTTGCAATGGATCAGAGAATATGATTTAAGGTTCTGCCCAACACTTGTCCTATCTATTCGATACAGCAATAAAGTCTGGTCAGCAGGAAATCTTAGACTGGTATAATTATTCACTTGAATTCGAGAGCAGGGTAGATGCTCTTACTGTTAATGGTAGAATCAAAGATAAAACGGCAAAATCAAAGATTTACAAGGAAATGAAACCATTTCTTCCTGCTAAAATCACACAAGATAACTTGCGCTAGGAAACTCTTAAGGCTAGAAAACACCTCACGTTATTTGGAAAAAATGGAGTTGGAATAGACAAAATCAAGTTGGTCTCATATAGCGCAACTGAGATTTCGAAACTAACTAATGCACAAATCCAAAATGTTATAGATCAAGTAAAAAAATATATTAGTGATCATCAGTGTCATGTGACTTTGAAAACTGTTCCCTCAAGGAACGATCAGATTAAGGATGAAATGAGTACATCGGCAAGTGTATCATCTGCATCCTAATCTAAGCCCGATCATTCCTATTTTCGCAACAAGATATTGGATCAATATCCTAATCTATATAGAGAATGTAGTATTGAAAATTTAGACTATTATGGGATTACTGATGAGACAACATGCAGGGACTACATCTGACCATTATGCAAATTAGGTCATGATGATGAAGAAATAGAAGGTACGTATAATACCAGATCTTACTTTATTAAATGTGAACAGCATGAAATTGAGATAGTTGCATAATCTGATCCCTCTGGGATCGTCTGGGAATTTTAATCTTTTTTTTCGAATGAATAGGTCTATACGAGAAAAGGGATTTAAATTGTTTGCAGTCATATAAAAAGGAAAATGACTGAGTTTGATAAAATACTAACCCTAAATATCTAGACTGGCATGCCAAATTAAGTGGATTACCAAGCGTTTTGACGGATAAGATTCGTTCCAAATTATACAAAAGATATAAAAAACAAACTGGAAATGAGCCATGACAACTAACAGAAGTACATAAATCAAAACAGAGTGAAGTTATAAATTCGAAGCCAGAAAAAGGGCCTATAACTTTTGAAGTCAGACCCGATCCAGAATTAATTATCAAATCCGTCTTAGAGTACTTCCCATACTTGAAATTCCAAAATAGTTTCAGAGGGATTGATAATTATAATTTTGCATTACCTCAGCCGTGGAGCTCACTATGTCCTATTTGTGATGGAAAATATGGGAATTATGGATTACATGGCTCATGGTACTGCGAAAATGGGAATCAGTTCCCTTATGATCCTGAATTAGTGAAATTGTATTCCCAAGATAAGTTGGAATATTGTCTTGCCAGCAACACTTCAAGCAATAAACTCAAGTTCACAATTGTAGCATAGTGATCATGTAATTTTGTTGCGGAGTAATGTTCCAAATAATTAGTAGCCTATAACTTTATTGTGACAAACTTGTCATGCTCCTTCGCATAAACTGGTTGCGTAGTTGTGACATTTAATGTCACAGAATAAAAATCATATGACTGAATTCTGACTACTGCGTGTCTGCGCCCATATTAAAATTGATTGCATCACTGATCAGATCTGTGATCCCTCTATAAAACTAACTCGTTTCCCAATTCTGCAAAAAAAATTCTTTTCTTTCCTCATTTATCGTTGTGATATAAAATAACAGTAAAAATGTCTACTGATAGTACGCCTATTACCCTTTGGTGTCTCGAATACAGAAGTAATTCCTTCTCCATTACCATTGGAAATAATAATTCTATTTTTGATCTAAAGAAAGCTATCTTTGAGAAGATTAATGTACCTGACAACGTAAAAGCTAAAAACCTTTGTTTATGGAATGTTAATGTTGAGGAAAGTCAGTTGGAGAGCAACACCCCTGATGATTTAATGACTGTTGAAAATGAAATAAAAATCGCATCGCAAAAAGTTGGCAACACATTCTATGGAGTTCAAGATAATAACATTCGAGTTATCGTTAAAGTTCCTGTTGCCATCGGTGAGTCAATAATTTTTAGTCAACGCGATATAACATAATTTTTTTCTTCTCCTCTGTTATATTCGCCAATAATACCGAATACTTACTTATTCTTGTGCTTTTCTTTCCTGCTTCTTATCGTCAAACCCGCCCAAAAAACACATTCGCGTTATTGTAGAGCAACTCGATGCATCAGTGTTCGTTGACAGAAGTGGCATAATCTGCAAAGAGCTTTTAAAAAAATTCGACATTATCCCAAATAAAGTAGAAGAACTTAAAACTCTTATTGATGCACCGCTTCTACGAAAACTGCCTGTAACTTCGGATGAGGAGATAATGTTTCCTGATATAAGCAATTATGTCTGCACAACACAAGGAGAACGACGAAGTGCTATTGCGAAGATCAACAGCAATCTGTTTACAATTGATACGAAATTCTCAGGCAAATCTGAGAGCATGTTACACCATCCGATAGATTCCATGATTAGAATCCCACTCGAAAATTTTAATAAATACCTTGGAGGGTCTTTACCTATTGATATTGATCGGGATAAATCAGATTCAGGATCAACTACGAAAGGTACGCAAAGGCCCAATTTTCTATGCTGGATAAAAAAATTACTTATTTTTAAGGGTGAAGAGAAGGCAAATGTTGGTGATTTTGACACAGCAAGAATTGAATTAGTAGAGAAGTTCAATGTACTTGATCCTATATTCTTCGGTAATATTAAATTTTTGATCTGCTATGCTGCAGCAGGATCGAATGTGCAATTCTATGCAATTGATGGCTCAAAAGAAACTGTGAAAAATCCAAACCAACTAATGCCACTTACCGGTGTACTTAATTCTATCAACCTTGTGGATCGAATTACTATTCTCCGCACGACTGTAAATATTGCGCGCATCATGTTAACAATAAGTGACAACATTACCGACATGATCATACCTCTCGGAAAGAAACAGAAGTTAGGACACTCATATATCACATTTTTTGCTAATTCAGTCGTAAAGTTGGTCCCAGAAGTTGATCTTCCATACACACAACATCTGCAGTCTCGTGTAAGATTCTTAACATCAATGTATAAACATGCTAAAGGTTACCCGGGCTTGTCCAGATCAAGGAAGACCCTCTCTTTATCCAAGATCAAAGAATGTATAAAGTTAAAATGACAACTCAAGGTATCCCTTGCAAACTGAATAATGAGAATGACGTACGGGAAATGACGAAATGTGTTCTCACCGGGCTAGCCAGATTACATGCAGGAAGATACGTTCATCGTGATATCCGGATACCAAACATCGTGTTCGTTCCTGAACATCATGACAACTTTAGATATGTCCTCATTGATTTCGAGCATGGAGGCATGAACAAACAAAAGCCTGGTGAAAATTTGAATGGCTGGGATGCAAATACGCTCACGAAATCTGGCCACTATGTATACTTATCAGAAATGTACCAGCTGGGAAAGATGCTAGAAAAGTATAATGATTTGATGACAGCTGGTGGAAAAGATTTTGTGAATCAATTGAAATCAAAAAATTTGACAGCGGAGGAGGCACTTAAACACACATGGATCAATAATAGTACTACATCAATCTAAAGTTTATCATGATAATTTACTAGCTATACTTATATACTTTTAGAAATTTAGAATTCTCTGCATTTTTTCAATCATAACAAATAATTAGATCACAATCTATGTAAAAAATTAATTATATTTGCTGTATAACTAATTGCATAACAATAAAGCTTTATTACTGAATTTTTTTTACTGTATGTGGGTAACGGAATAATAAAGTAATTCGTGATTCGTACTCCTATTCCTTCGACAAGAATCTTTCCAATATCGTACTGCGCATTTCAGATAATCGGTCTTACCTAACAATTGCTATGCTTTTGTCAGAGCATAACCCCAAATGGTCAGGCTGATTTACATACATATTCCATTATTTTTTTCAACTCAATTTGGATTTAATTTTTGCATGCCATGTCTTCAGTATCATACTAACAAAACAATTTTCGAATATAGATACAGTCAGAATTTGATATACCAATATTCGATATACCAATACATTATTAAAAACTTGATATACCGATAAAATTTTACATTCCCACTATATGTAAGGACATATAAATATCGGTATAATTTGATATAACGATATTTTTTAAATTTTTTCTTATGAGTCCTGACATATCGTTATATAAAAATTTGACTGTAGTTTTTTTGGCAATTAATATTTTGCATATGAGATTTGGGGATGTGTATGCTAATCCTTCGTCATTTTTTTATTGATTTGCAGAGGGATTAACAAATGACGAAATGTAGTGCGTAATTGCTGGTGAAAATTAATCCCAAAGGGAATGTTTTCTCCTGCGAAATTTACAAGTGATATAAAAACCCGTCTTTAGCTTTAGCCAGCAAATAGCTGACCATGAGAGTGATGATAAGTGGGCAGGTATGGAGAATCAAGAAAGCTCAGTTAATACGGAAGCGACCACTGTTGATAAAATCAATATTAGCCCAATCGGTAACACACAAAGTAGAGATAAGTGCAGTATTTCGGAATCTGAGAGACCCTCTCTTGTTAATCTTAAAAACCTTGGATATAATATCCTCAAAAGTCTCGATGATGAAACTGTTGGAGATATTGAGTTTCCAGAACTAGATTCATGCTCCAAATGTGGCAATGATATTTTAATGTCTCTCTCAAGGTGTTCTCATACCTCACTTGCAGGCATATTTTTCACAGACTTTGTATTGAAAAAAAACTTTTTCTTGGCACTTCAAGTGCATGTCCAGCCTCTGGCTGTGGAAAGAACGTGGACATCTTAGATCAAGCTGATGCCCTTGGTATTGTTTCCAATTTGCCAATACCTGATCCCAAAGTGACCTTTCAATCAAGTGGAATTTCACCTTTATCCAACTTAATGGGAACGTTTACCCTATCTTCACCACCTATACAGATGGGAGGGATCGAGGGTACAGCAACTCAGCAAGTCAAAAGTGCTTTGAGATGCGCTAAATGTTCTGAAGACCTTTCTTCGTCCCTCCCTCCTTTAGGCTTTCTTTGAATCTCCCCTCAACCTCAAGGTCCTCCGAAACCGCTCGTATATTTAACCAGCAAGCATATTGTCCATTACAACTGTATTGACAATCCACGAAAGTTGTGTCCTATATGTCCATCAACTGATATGGAAATTGATGATTTGGAAACTCCAACAAAGCAGAGTTCAAATACTGCACAGAAAAAATGTTTTAGCGAATTTGCTTCTGAAAAAGATTCAAATAAAAAAGCGAAGTAGACCAGAAAGCAGATTGATCGAAATGATTCTCCTACATTGAAAAAACTAATTATGGAGTTGACTTCTCCTGAGTCCCTAGAAGATGGTCTCTCTCGAGACCCCCTCATCACTTTGCAGTTAAGTGTCTCTAAGATGGACGTAAACTCGCTTGATTTTCTCAATTTATATAATAAGATTGGTACTGCTGAAGACAATCTTCGAAGAACCACTCATGATTTGCTTCGATGCTATTATATTTTTGGCCAAGCCACTGTAAACGGTCGAATATCAAGCGCGAAAAGATGATAAAATTCAACCACCAAATGTAATTGCCAAATATTAAGAACGAACAAATTAATTATGAATTGGCGTAGATGGATAAATAATTAGCCGAAAAGGATAAACATTTAGGAAGAGTAATGATCTACATGATGTAATATTTATCAAATGATTGACAAAGAACCAATAGGATAAATAGAATCGATCAATTGCGGCTTAGCAATCTTTAACAATAAGAGCAATAAGAAAGAATAATTATAAGCCACAAAAGATAGATTATAAGTAAAACACATAAAGCAGATTAAAAGAACATATAAAATAATGTCAGAAAGATTAAAGAACACAAAATAATATAAAAGATAATATAAAAAGATAGTATAAAGATGGAACGTAAAAGATAATATATTAAAAAGAACATATATAAAAAGATAGCATATTAAAAGATAGCATATTAAAAGATAGCGTATTTAAAATATAGATAGTATATTAGAAAGATAGTTCAAAGATAATATGTAAAAAGAACATAAAAGATAGTATATAGATAGAATAGAAAGTAGCGTAAAATTTGTATAAATAGAGAACGGAATTCAAAGTAATTCCATAGTTCTCATCCACAGAACTCAATAAAAATATAAGTTTCATTTAATTATTTGTTAATGAAGTTTAATGTTAATTAAAGGTAATAGGTTCGCCCTAAACTTTAATTAATGTTCGCTTAATTAATTTTAATTAAACAAATGAAAATTTTAAGATGAATTAAATATATGTTTTTGAAAAGTAATAATTTGTAGCGAGAGCTATCGAAGTTTGAAATTAAAGGTAAAAGTGGATATAATTTGGGGAAAAATTTGGAGAAGTAAATTTTATTTTATATCGTTCAACGTTTTATATTACTAACGCTATTTATGTTGTGAACCAAGAATGTTGTTGTATATTGTTCATTGATTTTGTTGTTTGTTAATTATGTTGTTGATTAATTGCTCGCTCGTTTAATTGTTCGTTCGTTCGATTGTTCGTTCGTCTGACCATGAGAATGCCCGTTCGATATGGCAACTCTGTAAATTGATGACAGAGGGAATTGGAGGATCTCACCACTAAGCAGTTATTCGATCATTTTAAAAAAACTTGTAATGAGAATGTATCTAATGCTAAAGTTAACGATAGAATTATGAATCAGATTTCTGTACAAGATAAGCTTACCAAAACTAACCTTTGAAAAAGAAAGGAAAGGGTAAAAAGGTTTTCAGGCTTTTTAGTAATGTTGGTGGTATAGAAGCAATAGAACGGTTAAAGTCTTTTAATGCTACTACAATCTTAAATCTATCCCCAGATGATGTCGATTTTCTTATTGCTAGATTAAACGAATAAATAGTACTACTGCTACATGTATTTTGTGTAACTCTTGATAATAAAAGGTCATTTCAGGACTGGCTACGGCCATTTTTGATTTTTTATTTGTAAAGTAGTGTAACACTAATGTCACGGCTCTCAGAGCAAAAATCATAAAGTTTCTGGTTTTCATTTCAGCATATAAATTGTCATAACCCATAAATCTGTTCCAAAACTTTGCCAGATTTCATTGGTTTAGTTGTGACATTAATGTCACACTTCTCCCAATAAGATTTCTAGTAAAAATCCACATGATTAAATTAGCCGATCATCTCGAACATGTGCATTTTATTTATAATCATTTTCAGGCTATCCGGCTAAAGAAAAAATCTGAAATCTGATTGGCCGGTCATCCTAATCGAATTTGGGTTTACTAGTGTGTAGTCTCACTAAATCAGCTACAGATCAATAAAACTGCTAAACTGTTTAACCAGCAAATCCGTATAAAAATGAATCTGATATTTATTAGAGTATACTATTGCTAAATTGGCTAAAATTGCTAAAAACAATATAAATCAATAAAATCGTTATATTCTGTTATAATCAACCAAAACACTAATATGGATTTAGATAGTAAAGCCTATTCCAAGTTAATTCATGCACACAATAGTGTTGGAGGCTCTGAAGAATATATAAGAATTATTGTTGCAATATTGCCTTTAAGAAGGGAATTTCAGATCTGGCAATATAAACAATACATATTACAAGAAAAGGCTAAAATTAATCGTCTTCAGCTAGAGCTTTCATCCCAATCTACTCCACATTCAGAAAAGGATAAATTGGCATCGGTATCATATGATTATGACGGCATCCAAACTGGTATTCCATAACACTTCCAAGATAGTTCCTCACTAGTTTCATGACAGCTCTACAGAAGTTCCAGAACACTATCAAGTCACCATCATGATACTAAGCTAGATCCTCGAATCACATGTCTAAAAGATCAGGCAAAATTATGGTATACTGCCAGCCGAAATTAATCTACTACAATCTACTGCGCCACCTAACATGATATTTTTTTACCATATTTCGGCAGGACCCCGGATATCTCCAAAACAGGTCATAAGTCACACTTTCGGCAGATTGGCCCATTTTTCAGGGCTCAAAAAATCGTTTTTTGTAAATATCTCGACATCCAGTGGTCCAATTTTGATGAACTTTTTTTTTAAATTGTAGAGCTAAATGAGGGCTACAAAATAAAAAAATGTTCATTAAAATTGAATTACTGGATGCTGAGATATTTACAAAAAACGATTTTTTGAGTTTCAGCAAAAAGGGGTGTTTTTGGCCAAAAGTCCATTATGACCTTTATATTAGATATCCAGGGTCCTATTTCGGCATTTTGATGAATAATAAAATAGGTAAAGAAGGAAAGCACCCTCGAATCCTTAACAGGCAACCAAAGAGGTACAGAATGGCAAAAACTTCATCATAAAACTTAGAATCCAAATAATTGCAGACAGGCCGGATCTCCAATATAGAATTTAATAACCAATCAACTATAGAATCCCAATTACATAAATTATATTAGAAAATGATTATTGACGTACAGAACTAAACAAAAATAGGTACATTTCGATTATTTAGTAATAGTAATATTTAGGTTATTTAATCACATGATCACAAATAATAAATGGGAAAAAGCTAAAGAAAAGCGAATTCAAAGGGAAGGAATATAGTAAGAAAAATAACTAGGTATACAAAATTGTTATAAACAGGTTATTTGGTTAGAGTATTTAATCATATTTAGGTTATTAACTTTAGATTATTTAGATATATTTAAATTATTTAGTTATATTTAGATTATTTATAGTCATACTTAGATTATTTAGTTATAGTTAGATTATTTATAGTCGTACTTAGATTATTTAGTTATAATTAGATTATTTTATTACTAAATAACCTAGTCTAAGCTGTTTATGACTAAATAATACAGTCAAACCTTGATATAGTGAACCCTTGATATAGTGAATTTTTCAGACAACTATAATAAATTTCCCCTTGCTATAACGAATTAACCAATCAAATCTCTTAAAATCTTCACTATAGTCCTATAGCGAAGTTGAGGTCTGGAACCTAGGGTTCGTTATAACAAGAGTTGACTGTATAATTATATTATTTAGTCATAAACGGTGAGATCCCCCATTTGGCTAATCCTTCGCATAAAGTTTTATTGAATCTTTCGACCAAACCATTTGTTTGTGGCCTATATGGTGTACTTAATCTATGATTTATTCCACACCTTTCTACTAATTCTTCCATTATTTTATTGTTAAAATGAGTCCCTCTATCGCTAATTATTTTCTTTGGACATCCATGTCTACAAATTATGTCTCTCCAAATAAATTCTACAACATCTTTTGCTGTAGCTTATTTTAGTGGTGCGGCCTCGGGCCATTTTGTAAAATAATCCATTGCTACCACAATATACTTATTTCCCTTTTCTGTCTCTTTTAGTGGTCCAACTATATCTATTCCAATCATCTTGAATGGTTCATTTATCTTTATTGGTGTCAATTCATTCTTTCCTCTTGGTTTTCCTCTCATTTGACAATTCCAACACGTTCTCAGTTACATATTCTTCTACATCTTCTTTCATATTTTTCCACTAATAATTTTCTTTTATTCTATCTAATGTCGCTTCTATCCCAAAATGTCCTGATAATTCATTATCATGCATCATGTACATCAATCCCTCATATTCATAATCCCTAATTACTCTAAATTTGTTTTGTCCTTTTACTCTATATAGAATTCCCTCTTTCAATTCATATTTATTCTCCTTTTCGATATTATCAATTATTCTCTTGTAATTATTTTCTTCCATAATACTTCTTTAATTGATTTCGCTTCTAAATTTGTTATTCTCGTTATGTGTCCTGTATTTTTAGTTCTGTGCTCTTCTCCATTTCTCCACCTCTTTAAATACTTTTCTCCAGCTATTATCGTCATTTTTAACTTTTACTCGACTGTATCTTTTGGTATCTTTGTACACACTCTGATTTTCTTCAAACATTTTAACCATGTCCAAATATTCATCCTTCTTTAATGTTGGGTATGATGATTTTTCCGTTTTCTTTGTTTCTCTTCCAATGTAATTTTTCCAACATACGTCGCCATCTTTTTCTAAAAATATCACTATTGATTTATCTATTGTTTCTTTCAATCTGAATATTTCTTTTTCCATCTCATGATTTCCATATGGAGTAATTAATCCTCTGTCAAAACTTTTCGTCTTTTGATAATAATATTCACAATAAGAATGAATCACCTGTTTAAAAACTCTTTCTGCTCTTGCGCTTGACCAAAATTTTGTGAAAACAGAAAAATATTTTTTTTCAAAGCTACATATTTTATATTGTGTTTTATTTTGTCTATTAACTATTATGTCCGGCCCTGCAGCCCGAACTAGGTCTCAGGTTACTTCACAAGGCCAGGCGGACATACAGGTGTCTTTACCGCAAGAGAAACAGAATGATAACAAACAACCGATACAGGTCAACAACAATACTACTGTTCTTACAACCAACGATATGATAGACCGCTCTCATGATGCTGCAGCGGGCTCACATAAAGATAAACGGAAAAATAATAATAAACAAGGCTTCTCGGTGGAACAGGCTCTTTTGGGTCCTTCATCTTCACCTTCTTTAACTTCTAATATTGCTCTTGAAAGTCAACAAACAAAGGCGGACCAATCAGAAAATCCTTCACAACAACAAACAAAGGTTACCCAATCAAATGTTTCAGCACAACAACAAATAAACAAACCCCCTGAAACGTCACAACCAAATATGGCGTCAACAACTGAGGGACCGGAAATCACTGACATCAGTATGCAGGATGCTGATCATGACTCACAAGGTTCTACTGAAGAGGAAATTTTGTATTACGCAAAAAAACAACAAACATTCTCACTTTTCATTGGTGTAAAGTTATCTGATAAAGTTAATACTTCATTTGCTACTAACTTTTTAAAAAATACAAGGGATTTTTTGATATCAGACTCAAATTTAGGCCCAGGAATTTCTCAAGTATCAAAAATTATACCCGATTTTAATAAAGTTGCCCCAGGAGAAGGGTCACGTGACAATAATAATGAAGCCAATCAAGATAAACCAATCAAAAAGAAAAAAGATATTATTGGATATCATTTGATTATTAACGTTACCACAAAAGAAATATATGAAAGCATTATGGCAGTAGACTTCTCCTGTGCAGAAGATACAGTTTCTTTCGCACCATACCAAAGCATTCGTACACAAAGAAAACAAACAAATGAAGGAACGCGTGGTCGTACTGTTCAAATTTATAACGCTTCTTTAGAAATAACAACTGCTACTCTGAAACCATTTCTGAGAAGATATGGTGAATTGGAAGAGAATGGGGTTTATGCAACTAGACGTAACCCCTATCAGCCAAATAAACAAATTTTTTATGCAACGTACAAAGAAAGTGCTAGTGCAGACACCTTTTATGGAAAACCGATACTATGGGTTTACAATGAAATGCTTTACATTACTCCAATGGAATTAAGTTTAGATAAAAGGGAAGAAAGAAGAGCTTTCTGTGCTAAACTTAATGGATTACCTCCAAACGCTAATGCTAGAGAATATCAAGATTTTATTGAAGAATTTAACGTGCTCGAATTCAGAATTCCTAGGAATACGAGAACAAATCGGACGCAATTATATGCATACGTATATTTTAAAGATGAAGAAAGTATGCAAAGAGGGACCGATAGGGTGATAATGAGGCGAAATAAACAACATGAATGGTCAATACCAGATATGAAATCATGTTTTAATTGTGGGTATACATCTCATCTTATAAGTGACTGTGACTATCGACCACCAAGAAATAGACCTATGAACAAAAAAGATTATTTGAACTCGGTAAGGCGATATCAACCAGGATATCGTCAAAGAGAAAAACAAGAAAATGCTCGCCCAGGGTCATACGCAGATGCGATACGTTCAAGACCAAATGAAGCAAGGTTTGAAAATAGAAAATTTCAAGAAAGATATAGGCAAGATAATCCTTATTCGAATAATAAAGATCGCCCATGGAATAGGAATAACTTACGAAAAAGAAATGATGATAATCATAATTATGGTGATGATGAACAAGGGATGCATGAATGGGACGAAGAAGATGATAGTTTTGAGGACATACCGCGCTCTAGTAGTAGGGCTTCAGTTCTTTCTAGGCCAAGGAATGCACACTATGAGAATGTTGATAGAACACCTAGAAATCATAGAGATGATAATGAGATTCAGTCAATTAAACAAGATCTAGCTACTTTACAAGATATTGTAAAAACCTTGGCAAAATCCTTAGAACAAACTACTAACCAAATTAGTTTGTATATGCAAACAACATCTAGCAAAGGCAAAGAAAAAGTTAATGAAATGAACAACAATGCCATGTTGATTGATCAATCGGGTAATACAGATAATAGACAACACCAAACACCTAAAAGGAGGTTGGTGTCATTTAATGAAAATAATAAACGACCACAAAGAGAAGATTCTTCAGACTCAGACTCAAACGATAACAGACAAAATAATATGGCTCTTTTGACTGCGCAACTTCAAGAACTTCATAAAGGCATGGAAAATATTACCAGCAGTCTTACAAATATCAACAACAGAATTACAACTGTAGATATCGCAAGACAAGTACCAAACAGATCAGTTGATGGGGGCAACCGATCTGCTAAAAATAATAACACCCAACATCATTTTTAATGATAGACAATAATCAATATAATAACAATTTAAATATTTCGAATACAACTACTTACCCCCCTACCAATGATACAAGAAAACAAAAAATTATTAATGATAGTAAACATAGAAGAAATTATAAAAAAAGAAAAAGAAAAAAAAGGATAACAAATAACAATAATGGTAACGAGGTGAATCTTGATACTAACAATCTTCATTTTTTTAAGGTAGCGACGCTTAACATAAGACAACTTAATGATATTAAAGCTCAAAATTTGGCAAAATATTTAGATAAAAATGATATAGATATATTAAGTATAACTGAAACTAGAATTAGTAACAAGAACTTAAAATTTATAACGAAAAACAAATTTATGAATCATCAAGTATTTGGAACAGTAGGTGCAAAATTCAACGAATCAGGGACCCTTGTAATAGTTAAAAAAGAACTGGCAAAACATATTAGCAAATTGGAAAATTATAAAGGTCGTATTTTAAAAATAGAATTTACTTTTTCTGATCAACAAAAATTGGCAATTATATCAGTATACAATAAAAGTGGAGATAGAGGTAAAGATTGCGTAGAAACACGAATAGATATCAATAAGGAGATTATGAAGATGATTAAAGATAGTAAAAAGAAAAATCAGCAAATAATTTTGATGGGGGATTTTAATTTGCAATATAAAAAATATCTTCAACAAAAGAATAGTAATAGAACTAGGATTTCAGAACAATTGAAAATATTTGATCTTTTAGAAAAATCAGAATTATTTGATACCTGTAAAGAAATACTTAATATCGATGATTTAGCATTAACAAAAAATCACGTGACCCATATAACGAAAAAATTAGGATCTAGGATCGATTATATTTGGGTTACCAAAAAGATTTTTGATGAAATAGTCCAAGTCCAAATAAAAGAATATGACAACAAGAATGACACAGATCATAAAATTGTATATTTTAAAGTTGCTCGAGATTGTGTATTGCCATCAATTATATATAATAGAAAGAAGAAAAGTAAATTCGATAAGCGAACTAAATATTGTTATGATACAATTGATGAAGAAATAAAAGAATGTATTAAGATGAAAGCTGAATATGAACTCAACGAAAGGAAGAACAGATCTTCAACAATGATATTGACTTTACACGAAAAGATACAACTATATGAAGATGTTATAAATGCAACAAAGAATTCAGAAATCGAAAAAAAAGAGATCTGTTTAACTAATGAAAAAGAAGACACAAGTATAAAGAATTTGGATTTATATCGGGCGGTTAGATTTTTCATCTATTTAAGAAGAAAACTGAAAAAGAAGAAAGGAATAGAAAATGTTAAGCGACATTGGAAGAAAAATATAAGTCACGTAAACAAGATATTAAAAAATTGGGACGTTGATGGTTTTTATTACTTAAGATCATATAATTTTGGAAAGGTTCAAATAAAGAAATATATTACTGAATTAGATGAGTTATATAATATATTTCAAACGAAACTGCAAATTAAAGTATCAGCTATGAAAGAAAATAAAATTAAACGTGCGATAGAACAGAGACAAAAAGATTTAGAAGATAATCAGAAAAGAATGATAGATAACGTTATGGATAGAGAATTTAGAAAAATCAACATCGATAGGGTATTATCAACTAATTCAAAAGGTGAAGATATCTTAATCGTAGACGAAGATAAAATTAAAGAAAAAGTGGCTGATCATTTTCAAAATTGCGCTGGGACTATAAGTATTGATAAAGAATTACCAGAGGATTGGAAAGAAGAATACAATTCTGGAACACACATACATATCCCATCATTTGCATATGATAAAGTGTTAGAAAAAATATCTATAGAAGAGATATTAGAAGCAGCGAAAGAATTACCTCAAGGAAAAGCTAGTGGACCATCAGGTATAACATATGAAGATATCAAACTAACAATTTTACCTTTAAAAGAATATATACAGGAAATTTTTAATGACATCTTGGAAACAGAGGAGATACCGAAACAATGGCTAAAAGCTAATATTTATCCTATTCCGAAGCCAAAGCCTTGGGGTTATGATCTTAATAATACTCGACCAATAACTCTCTTAGAAACTTTAAGAAAAATGTTTATGAAAATTATAACCAATAGATTATCTGATGCTATGGTCAAATACAACATACTCAGAGGACATCAATTTGCTGGATTGCCAAAAAAATCAACATTTGAACCACTTAGAATTATTAAAGAATTGATAGATTACGCTAACGAAGAAAATAAAGAATTATGGTTTTTTTTAGTAGATATGTCTAAAGCTTACGACAGGGTGAATATTTATATGCTAAGAAAAGCTATGAAGAGGATTAAGATACCAGAAAAACTATGCAATATAATAATAGGAATGTTTCAAGGACGAATGAACCAAGTATTTACTCCTTTTGGATTAACAAAACCATTTGAAATGATGACTGGAATAGATCAAGGGGAAATAATCTCACCATTATTGTGGATTATATTTTACGATCCTCTCTTAGATAGGTTAAGAAAATCTGATTTGGGATTCAAGATTTCAGCAAAAGAACAATTGGATATATATGAAGGTTTAACAAGAGAAAAACAAATAAGATTTCCAGCATGTGGATATATGGACGATACAAGTTTTCTGACAAACAATAAATTAGACATGGAAAGAATTTTAAAAATAGCCGATTCCTTTTACATGCTTAATGACATTAAGATAAATAAGAAAAAATCAGCGCTCTTGATAAGATTTAAAGAAAAGAAGAGACTAAATAACGAAATTAATCTTCAATTTGGAAATAAAGAAATTGGAATTCAGCCTGTTCAACATAATGGATCAGAAAGGTTCTTAGGAGTATGGATTAATATGTATAATAAAAATAAACACATACAACAACAAGTCAAGAATGAAGTAATGTCGATTAATAAAGCTTTTACAACAAAAAAAGGTTTAACCGATAAAATGATGATATATCTCTTTAACTATTTAATTATACCTATCGTGAAATATCGTACTCAACTTACAGTAATGGATGGAAAAGTATTGGAAAAATTGATGTCACCTTTTAGAAAAATTTTGAAGAATAAATTGAAAATGGCCTGTACAGCGCCAAACGCTATTTTAGAAACTAATTATATTTATAATTTAAACAGCTTTACTAATAATCAATTACAGGCAAAAATAACTAATTTTATTCTACAGATAAACGACAAAGGGATTCTTGGAGAAATAATGGATATTTGACTAACGAGTATACAGAATTTATTACTTTTAGAAAATAATCCACTATACAGTATTGACAACACGACAAGTCACGTGATTAAGAAATTTTATAAAGAAAATTTTACGATGAGAAATATTCTTCTGATGAAAGAAAACAACTTTGATTTGGAAACAGATGATACAATTATAGAAAGATTTAAAGTAGAAGGAGGACCTACAACTGTTAGATCAATAATTTCAAAAGATACTTATGTTAATAATTTTAAATTTTTACAAAATAACAATATTCGATATATAGATCAAATAATCTCACTTAGTAAAAGGTATCTCTTAACAATCAAAGAGCTAGAGGATAGAAAGTATATTAGACTAAATTTAAAAGGAAAGCTATCAGCAAACATCAACAACTATGAGCAAATAAGAGAAGAGTTGACGATATCGCCACATACATATAAGCTAAAGGAATACATAGTCAAACAAATAGACGGTGTAGATAAAGTAGAAAATTTAAGAGGTGTAGAAATAATACCAGTAATAGCAAATACAAGAAAAGATGTTCCAATTATAATAGAACTCAATACTGGAGGAAGTTTACAAGCTGTATTTGGAAGAACTAGAAAAGTCTTACCAGGCGGTCTCTTAATAGCAATGCATATGATACCTATAACAACAATAGAAGATAAAGATTTAATTCTAGAAAAATGCCAAAGATGTAATATAACAACATGGTTGGATGTCCCAGAAGTAATGTTTTCAAACCAAGAACGAAGTAGAATTCCATGTATAATTATGACAGACGCTAAAAATGCAAGCACTTTTTCAAGAAATAAATGGCAAAATGGTATTAATCAAAATAATATTCTAGGACACGAAAAGATTATATTTCCAGGAATAAGTGGACAAATAATTCAAGAGAATTTTATATACGATAGAATATTAAAACAACAACCATATTTATACAAGTCGACTTATAGTAAAATACATGAAATGATACCTAAAGATAAAATCTCCTTTTTAAATAACATACTTAGTCAATTCTTAAAAACTGGAAATTATAAACCAATGACGAATAGAATGCAATTATGTAAAAATAGATTAACAACTATTAGGGGAAGAACTCTTAAAATATATATCGATGGATCAGTTAAATTTAATAAAACAGAAAATATAGAAGCAATATTTGGACTTATGATTTATGATGAAGATAATAAATTATTAGATACAATAATGTCGACAGTAGAAGACTGGATTACAGTAAATAAAACAGAAGCTCTAGCATTTTTAGCAGCGTTATTAATTATACCCGAAAAAAAAGAAGTTACAATTTATACAGATAGTCAAACGAATTATGATAATTTTATGGCAATTAAACAACGACCGCATCGAAATAACTTAAGAGATATATTAAAATTTGGAACTAGCAATCATATTTGGGCTATTATAAAAAATATAATTTTTTATCAAAATTTAGACGTAAAAGTGGTTAAAATCAAAGCTCATGCAGAAGACGCTTTACATAATATTTTAGATAAAGAAATTAAAGAAAGATATGCTGATATACAAGGTGTTAGTAAATTAGAAGTTATTCCAACATGTGCAGAATATAGATATGTATTAAGATGGAATGGAACAATTGTGGAAACAAATATACGAAGATTTATTAGATTAGTTACACGTATAAAAGGATTAGAAAAGTTCTTAAATTTAAATAGAAACGATAAATATAGAATGTTAGAAATAGATTGGCACGTGACTTTTGACTATTTAAACATTAACGAAGAATTTGAGACATATTTCAAGACGAATGCTCACTCATCAAAACAGAAAAGAATGAAAGTACAAAGACTAATTGAAGAAATGCCAACAATAGAACAGATGAAAAAATCTTCTTATGATTTGTATTATGATTTATTATGCCAGTGTTGTAATAAGAAAAAAGAAACCTTTGATCACGTATGGACTTGTAGATCTAATAGAAAATATATGAAGAATCTTATAACAGAAACGATAGATAAACTTATAGATTTGCTAATACAAAATGGAGTGGATGCAAAGAAAATTATAAAAGAGGATTTGATTGATCTCCCAATGTTTCAAAGAGCCAAAAATACTAATGAATTTTGTTTTATAGATATGATAAAAGGAATTTTCCCTCTAAGTTTATCAAGAATTATACTTTTTTTTATAGGAGTTTCTAAAGAAAAATTAGCTCGAACAATTGGTATAGAAATTTTAAATTTTATTTTTACAAAAATTAATTCAGGTGTTTGGAAAAGAAGATGTGAAGCAATGAAGCAAACAGAAAAATCCTTGGGAATTTCAAAGATGGATAAAAAGAAACCTGACTCTATTTTTACGAAAGAAAAAGAAAAAGAACTGCAATCAAAAAGATATTTGGGAAATTATCCGTTATTTGAGGGATTAATTAGCGTTAAGGAGCATATATTATTTGGTAAAGAAATCCTGGGTTTTATGGGGTATGTGATCCGGGTGGTTAAATTTTTTGTATATAGTTCTTGTTCTTTCCGTTACCTTTAAAGGTGCGGAGTTTAGTCCTTTTTAGTAATTTTAACTTAACTCAGTTGTCGTTGGTAGTCTTTTATGTATTTAATTTTCTACTAAGTCTTGTTGTAAGGTTTGTAGTCCCATATAGTTTTACTATCTGACCTTGTACCTACAACTTCACATCCTGTAATTCTCAATCTATATCAATAAAATATGCGCTATGCGCACGTGAACTGAAAAAAAAAAAAAAAAAAAAAAAAAAAGAAAAAAACCTTATTTATCACATTTTTTCGCATTTGTCTTGTACAATAGATTGGGATTTGGTCATATGCTGCAGAAATATTTTTTGCTTCTTTTGTCTTGTCACATTTATCCAAAGAAGGAATTTTCCATACAAAATTTAATGTACCGAGATAATTGCCATGATAATAACGATATAGCGTGAAGGATACATCAGCACAAATATTTTGAAAAAAGAGATATATATTTTGTGGCTTGGGAGGAAGCAAATGATCTATATTTAGAAGATCATAATCATTGGATTCACGAAGAAGCTGTGCTAAAAACTCATATTGAGATGGATATAAGTCAACAGCTTCAATATCCTCAACTGTAATATCATCCCGCCCATTTCTTACAGGAACTAGACTCGTATGTAT